TTTAAAGCATTCAGTGTTCCCATGTTCTGTTCAAACAACTGCTTCTTGGTCCAGGTACAGATTCCTCATGAGCACAATTAAGTGTTCCGGGATGCTTATACTTCGCAATGTTGTCCATAGCTTGTCATGATCCACACAATCAAAAGCCTTTGTGTAGTTAATGAAGCACAGGTAAACATCTTTCTGATATACTCTGCTTTCAGCCAAGATCCATCGGACATCAACAATATCCCTGGTTCCATGGCCTCTTCTGAATCCAGCTTGAATCTCTAGAAGTTCTCTGTCAATGTATGATTGTAGCCGTTTTTGTATTACCTTTAGCAATGTATTACCTTATGCTGTGCATAAGGTTGCTAGGGGTCGGTACCGATTCGATGGCACCTAACAACAATAACAACACATACCATCAGGTACGTGAAGGGGATTATAATCATTGCAATGAAATGAAGTGTGAATTGTTGAATGTAAAACTGATAATCTGTCCTGTAAACCTTCACTCAATTCACAATTGAAAACTTAAAGAGGCAAAAAAAAAAAGAAGAAGAAGGCATACTCCTTGCTCTTCAGTTGGGCTTGTGATTTCTATCCCTGAGAGCCTGGAGGAGAGTATCAGGAGGGATTATCCCAAAAGCAAGGTAAGTTTATTACCAAGATGCAATCAAATCCATGTGAAATTGTTCGCTTTTGTTGTTATTAGGTACCATTGAGTCAGTTCTGACTCATAGTGACCTTATGCACAACAGAACTAAACACTGCTCCAACCTTGTGCCAGCCTCATAATTGTTGCTATACTTGAGCCCATTGCTGCTGCCACTGTGACAATCCATCTCACTGGGGGTCTTCCTTTTTTCCACTGACCCTCCACTTTACCAAGCATGATATCCTCCAGGGACTGGTCCCATCTGATAATAGATCTAAAGTGTGAGAGACAAAGTCTGGTCATCCTAATGTTTAAGGAGCATTCTGGCTGTAATTCTTCCAACACAGATTTGTTTGTTCTTTTGGCAGTCCACGGTACTTCTCATATTCTTCAGTACAGAATATTTACCCACCAGCTACTCCTTGGGAGAAAGATGTGGCTCTCTGCTTTCATAAAGATTTATAATCTCAGAAATCATTCACTACAGATTAGTAATTTAGCATAAGTAAACCCATGCTTACCTTGTTAACAGAATACTTCATCCCTGTTTATAATCCCAAATTTAGGGATTATAAATTTGAAAAGAGACTTTGATTCTATAGGAAAATACTGTGGGTGTATTCCCGTACATCTTCCCCTATCTGTTCAGTCTGTATGCCTACTTTGTACCTAATTGTCCACAGTTTTGCTCTTACTATTATTGAAGGATTATGTGAATACTTTTACCTTTCCTGTCTTTTCCTCTGTGAATATCCCAGTGACTTTCTAGCATATTATGCGGCCTCTTGAATGTTTCTTCAATCAAATCCTACCTTAACCACCTATTATAACTATGGTTAGCAACTCAGACAAGCTAACTAATGTTTCTAAACTACAGTATCCCCATCTTTAAAATAAAGATTAAAAATACCCATTTTGCAGATTATTGTGAGAATTAGAAATGATGTAAGTAAAATTTATAAAAACAACCTGACCCACACTAGGCTATTATTTATGATTTAAAAGCCCCTTAAATGCTGGCGTGGCATTGTGGGTTAATGTGCCAGACTGCAAAGCCATTTGAACTGCAAGGTCAGTGGTTCAAGCTCACTAGCTGCTCTTCAGAAACCCTATACAGGGTCGCTATGGGTTGGAATTGACTCAACGGCACTTAACAACAACAACAAAATGCTCATTGATGCTTTTGAGTTATGGTGTTGGAGGAGAATATTGAAAATGGCATGGGCTACCAAAATAACAAATAGATCCATTTTGGAAGAAGTGCAGCCAGAGTGCTCCCTGGAAGCCAAGATGGCCAAGCTTCGTCTTTCATACTTCGGACATATTGTCAGGAGGGAGCAAGTCCCTGGGAGAAAGATATCATTTTTGGTAAGGTGGAGGGTTAGAGAAAAAGAAGAAGACCCCCAATGAGATGGATTGGCCAAGTGGCAGCATCGATGGACTCAAGTGTGGCAACAGTAGTGAGGTTGGCCCAGGATCGGACAGTGTTTCGTTCTGCTGTGCATAAGGTTGCTATGGGTCAGTACCAACTTGATGGCACCTAACAACAACAACAAAATGCTCATGCTGCTAACTGAAAGGTCAGCAGTTCAAACCCACCATCCACTTCTTGGGAGAAAGCAGAGGCTCTTTGCTTCCATAAAAATTATTAGTCTCAGAAACCCTATATAGGGTTGCTATGAGCTGGAATAAACTCACAAAGGCAGTAAGTTTTTCTTGATTTGTTTGTATTGGTTTAAATATACATATATATTCTAACATATGTGGCAAGGAAAGGGACAATGTGTACCAAATTGCACAGAGTACCTTGCTTGTGGATACACATACATACACTCACTCCTGGAAGTTATTGTACTTACTGATGCGGCGACTTCATCTAGCTGTCTCCCACCATGGTTGGAAACAATAATGCCGTGGACATGGTGCTTCATTGCCAACTCTGCATCTTCTTTAGTCAGTATCCCTTTAAGGATGATGGGCAATTGAGTTATGCTCTGGAACCAAGAGAGATCATTCCAACAGATGGATGGGTCAACAGGAGTCATCTGGAGACGAGGTGTTGGATTTCTCTGTGGAAAATAGAAAGGGTCCTGAACTCCTTCAAAACTGCTTGACCTATACCAAAGATGAGACACATTTGAAAAACTGACATTTATAAACTCAGAAAGAGAATGTTTCTAGTTCCTTTTTCTAACAATTTTTATTTATTCATTAACCATTAGTCACAACCTTGCTCAAAAATTATGGCAGATGCTGGTGATACAAATATGAATAAGACACAGTTCTGACTTTAAAAGAACTCAGAGTATAGTAAATGAAATAGATAAGCAAAATCATTTAAATTTTGATGTGTTATGGTTGAAATGTATACAGCATATCAGAACTAAGTAATACTTGAATAATCTTAAAACAGCTATTACACAATTTACCTTTGTTTCATTATGTGCAGAAAGTACCCATAAACCACAGGGTTTATGATAAGGTTTCCAGAAACCTCAAGGTCAATTTGTGGCTGAAGCTTGGAACAATTGAACCACTTGGCTGTCCATCAAATCTATCCATTTGTTGTGAATGTTTTCATCACTATCTCTATTGTAGTCAGTGGAATTTAACTTTGCTATTTCTTTCTCTATCCTGGCCACTCTGATTCATTTTAAGATGTGCTGGCTTCTAGTTTAGAGATTTCAAAGAGGTGTGATGTGGTGTTGTGGTTCTATCTGGATGAGTTCTAAATATGCAGAGACACTGGCTCATCCTTTAGCATGGTGGGGCCCGGACTGGGAGCATCCTCTTCACATTGTCAGCTTGTCTAAATATTCCATAAGGTTTAAACACTTGGAAGAACTTTAGTTTGCTTTCCTATTCCCTGCAAAAGTCTCTCCTACTTATTTCCTTTGTCACCAATTCAACTTTTTAACAGGTGTACAACTTATTGATAATAATAATTTTTCCTTTTCTTAGTATCTAGTCTTGAACAGAAACTTGGGCAGCTATTGGGGTGAGAATATTGTATCTTATATTTTGTTTGCCTGGAACCTCTGGGGAGCAGGGCCCACATGTTGTTGTTTGAACTTCTGCATCCCCAGTGCCTAGTACAGAACAGGCAGTCACACAATGCTTGTGGAAGAAACAAAGGAAATGAAGGGAAGAAAGGAAAAGAGCGGGAAGGACATTTGCCTGTAAAATCTACCCATTGAATCCGGTACCTTTCCTACCTCTTTAGGAGATCGAAGATCCTTTAGCAATAAGTTTGTCTTCAAGTCCAAATTGTTTCGAATGTCCTGTCTCCTGTTGCCAGCTACGGGCACATCCACAGTGATTACTAAAGCTTTGAAACCCAGGGATTCTGCCCTGTGAATTAGCTGTTTGTTTAACTGCCGGTCTGGCTGTGCATAGAGTTGGAACCATCGGAGGCCTCTTGGGGCAGCAGTAGCAATGTCTTCAAAGCTGCAGGAGGCATATGTGCTAGTGATATAGCAGATGTCAGCTGCTTGGGCAGCTGAAAAGCAAAGGACACAATATAGGTTGGAAGGCAGGGGTGGGAAGCCCTAGGAGTCTGTGTTGACTCTGGTAAGTTTGCCCTGTGAGTAGAAATAAAGCTTGGCTTCATTCTGCTTCCCTGAAGGGCAGAGATAACAAATGGCTTAATTAGATTAGGAGGCATAGAGACATTTGGGTTCTCCTCTGTATAACCTTGATAATACCCATTGTTTATTGTTAGGCACAATATAGTTTGTTCTGCCTCACAGTGACCCTATGCATGATAATACCCACATGCTAGAACAAAACATTTCAACCTACAGATGTCATTTCATGTATAGAACCATATTGGCCACATTGTGCATTTCAGGCAGCAAGTGGACTTCTTGGTATCTACTTAATGAACTAGAAGGAATTAGAGGGCAGAGGATAAGGACATGTAATTCCTTTAGAGAAAGTTGAGTTTTGTGGTGGCAAAAGCATGGTATCTGAAATTAGAGGAATACTAGTACTAGCATTTCTTAGCTGTGTGGACTTGAATGTTATTTTCTTTATTTGTAACGTGAAAGAAATAATAATAACTGTCTTATAAGATTATTAGGAGATTAAATACAATACTAGATATGGGAACACTCTTTTAATTGCAAAGTGATGTTCTGTACAAATGCTGGTGATGATGAGTCCGATGATGGCTGATGATGGTGGTGACACTGATGCTGGGCTGAATTGCATATTTCTCATTTCCTATTCTAATTGTTTTTAGTGGAATTTTCCAATACGTTAATTTCCCAGAAGGCTCACTACCATTCTACAATCTATGCACAGAGAATTTGTTCTAATCCCAAACTAATATTTTCTTCACTCTTTTTTCCTCTGAATGGGGGAAACCAAGAGTTGTTCTTAGATGGCACACTTTTAAGATCCCAGTTGCTACTCACCGAAGTAGAATGTAGAACATTTTCTTTGTGGACTATGTTGTGCCAATTGATCTTGATGTCCCCCAAGATTATGGTCCTGAACTCTTAGACCCAGTGATTCATTTCTTCAAGGTATCTGATTATAGTTAAGAAGTTTTCCTAACTTTGCTCCCTGTGGCAGCTCCAAAAGACAAAGTCAGGTATTATAAGGAAATGTGCAAAGATCTGGAGTTGGAGAACCAAAAGGGAAAAATAAGCTCAACATTTCTCAAGTTGAAAGAACTCAGGAAAAAACTCAAGCCTCTACTTGAAATACTGATGGATTATATTGGCAAACTACTGAATGATGCAGAAATCATCAAAAGAAGATGGAAGAAATACACAAGAGTCACTGTACCAAAAAGAAATGGTCAGTGTTCAATCATTTCAAGAGGTAGCATATGATCAAGAGCTAATGGTATTGAAGGAGGAAGTCCAAGGTTCATGAAGGCATTGGCAAAGAACAAGGCTCAGGGAATTGATGGAATACAAATTGAAATCTTACAACAGACTGATGCAGCACAGGAGGCACTCACTTATCTATGCCAAGAAGTTTGGAAGACAGCTACCTGGCTAACTGGTTGGAAGAGACCCATTGTTGTGCTTATTCCAAAGAGAGGTGACCCAATGGAATGTGCAAAGCATAGGACAGTATCATTGATATCACTTGCAAGTAAAATTTTGCTAAAGATAATTTTAAAATGACTGTAGCAGTACATTGACATGACGGGGAGCTTCCAGATATTCAAGTCAGATTCAGATGAGGATGGGAAATGAGGGCTATCATTGGGGACATCAAATGGATCTTGGCTAAAAGCAGAGAATACCAGAAAGATGTTTACCTGTGCTTTATTGGCTGAGTAAGAGTTTTTGACTGTGTGGATCATGACAAGCTATGGACAACATTGTGGAGAATGAGCTCTGGAATGCCTAATTGTCCTCTTGGAGAGTCTGAATATAAACCAAGAGCAGATGTTTGAACAGAACAAGGGAAAACCAAGTGGTTTAAAATTAGGAAAAGTGTGTGCTATTCTTTCACTATACTTGTTCAATCTGTATGCTGAGAAAACTGTCCAAGAAGCTGGATTATATGAAGAGGAGTATGGCATCAGGATTGGAGGAAGTCTTGTTAACAACCTGCAATAGGCAGATGATGTAACCTTGCTCACTGAAAGTGAATAGGACTTAAAATACTTCTTGATGAAGATCAAAGATTTAATCTATATTTCAATGAAAAGAAAACAAAAATTTTCACAACTGGACCAATAAACAACATCATGCTGAATGAGAAGATATTGAAATGGTCAAAGACTTCAGTTTGCTTAGACACACCATTGGTAATATTGGAAGTAGCAGTTAAGGAATCAAGTGACATATTGCATTGGGCAGGTCTGCTGTACAAGATGTCTTTGAAGTGTTCAAGATCAAAGATGTCAGTTTGAGGACTGGTGTGTGCCTGACCCAAGCAATTGTATTTTCAGTGGCCTCATATGCATGTGAAAGTTGGACAGCGAATAAAGAAGAACATAGAAGAATTGATACATTTGAGTTATGGTGTTGGAGAAGAATATAAAATGGCCTGACAGAAGAACAAACACATCTGTGTTGGAAGAAGTACAGCCAGAATGCTCCTTAGAAGCCAAGATGGCTAGTCTGTCTCTCATACTTTGGACATAGTATCAGGAGGGACCAGTCCCTGGAGAAGAACATCTTGTTCGGTAAAGTGGAGGGACAGCAAAAAAAAGGAAGACCCCCCCCCCAACAAGATGGATTGGCACAGTGGCAGCAGCAATGGGCTCGACTGTAGCAGCAATTTGAAGATGGCACAAGACCAGGCAGTATTTTATTTTGCTGTACATAGGGTCACAATGAATCGAAGCCTACTGAACAACACCTAACAACAACAACATGATCTACTATTTTCATGGATACATTTGCAGCACACATAAATATATATGTAGAAATATTCTCTGTCAAATGTATATATATTCTTCAGTATAGTCTGAGTCACTTTCCCACCCCCATTCAGCTTGCATATCGATGTGTCCACTCGTAGAGTATTGTTACTACTGTTATTGGAGGATGGTATGTGTAATAATACTTACTTCTGTTGCCTTTCAAAGATACATAGAAACAATTTGTCCAAATGACTAATGGATCATGCAAACCTCAGCCTCCACAACCCTGAGAACTAAAGAGATCTATGGAACCCAACAACCACTACTGACGGCTCTAAAAGGGATCACATTATAAGGTACTGTATAGAATGGGAGAAAACTGCAAAACAAAACTCAAAATTATAAAGAAAAAACCAGCCTTACTAGTCTGATGGACATTAGTGGTACCCCAAGATGATAGCTTTTGGTCACTCTTTAATCCTGGAACTAAATTCACCCCTGTGGCTCAAACTTCAGTGAAATGATATGTCTATAGGGTGAACAGTAACACCAACGGGGTCCACTCCTTAGAATAATCAATCATTTGAGACCAAAAGATAATCATTTACATAGAGGCAAAGTTCAGAAGACAGAAAGGGATAAGAAAGGAGGACAAATGGAAAAGGAAAACCCAGAAGGTGTGAAACAAATGTATATGAATTTTTTCATGAAAAATTGATTTCCTCTGTAAACTTTCAAACCAAATCATAATAAAAGGTAAAAAAAAAAAAATAGTGGTTTTTCTAATTTCTAATATCAACAGGATTTATCCCATTATTTTGAAACTCTCCCAAGCAACACATGAAGATGTCGTAAATTGGTAATATTTCAGGCTAGCCAGGTTTGGTACCTAACCCCACTTTCAGGTCTAGGTTTCCTGGATTCATAGCTTCCTTCATTAAAGAGTCAGAGCAAAAGACTGCAGGGAAGCCCTGGGTATCATGTAAGATAGATAGTACAAAGGAGTTATAGGAACATTTTCATCTTTTTCTCTTCTGTTTTATTCTATTTTTATTTTTTGGTGGTCATAGGGGCAGATTGCATTAGACATATCTGCTGCAAAATACTTCTTTAAAGTGTTAAAAAGCAAAAATGTAACTTTGAGGACTAAGGTGTACCTGTCCCAAACCATGATATTTTTAATCCCTCATATGCATGTGAAAGTTTGGCAATGAATTAGGAAGACCAAAGAAGAATTGATGCTTTGGGATTATGGTATTGGTAAAGACTGTTGACTGACCTCCGGAAAAGCTAGTACCTCATGGTTTGTGTATGTGTTCTTCCTCCAAGAACAGCCAGCTGTAAAGTCTCACCCAAATCACACACATACACACAGACACACAAATCACAAGGTACTAGTCAGTTCCCAAAATAAAATACCTTTGGCTTAAAAAGAAAAACGTGAACTGTGAGACAAACACAAGGCACATATATGAGGATGCTTTATCTGACTCTTAACACAACAGCAAAGTGTCATAGAATTAGTTTCCAGGGATGTATTTATGGAGTAAATAAACCTTGTGGAATAAGCATGGTTCAGTAATATAGACACCAAGCAATTTGTGAAAAAATCAAAGGAACAAAAAGAAGTACAGTCAGAATACTTCTCAGAAATGAGAATGGCTAGTCTCCATCTCAAGTATGTTGGATATGTTATCAGGACTATTATGCTTGTTAGAGCAGAGGGAATGCAGAAGAGAGAAAGACCCTCAGAGAGGGACTGACACAGTGGCTACAACAGTGGACTTAAGCAGGGCAGTAATTGTGAGGATGGTGCAGGGCTGGGCCATGTTTTGTTCTGTTCATCTATGGGTCAGAACCAACTTCTGGGCACCTAACCTAAGGGGTGAAGAGAATGGAAAACTACAAGGAAGCAGGCATAAAACAACTAGAAACATTTTGTCAAACAAGATGAGAAGGTCAACTGGCAAAAAAGGAAATGAACTATTTGTTAAGAGTAGCTGCCAAGGACTTCACTTCATGATTTTCTCCTCACTCTAAATTTAGAGGGGCCAAAGAGCCCTTCCCTTGGGGCTGCATGGAGCATCCCCTTCCTCAAATACAATGTGAGTCAGAAGGGTCTGACTTTTCCAAGGGTAGTTTGGTGTAATTTTTAGCATCCTCCTAATAATAAAGGGAGTTTTGGTGTACAACTCTGGATTAATGCGCCAGACTGCAAAGCCGTTTGAACTGCAAGGTCCGTGGTTCAAGCTCACCAGCTGCTCCTCGGAAACCCTATACAGGGTCGTTATGGGTCAAAACCGAATCAATGACACTTAACAACAACAACAATAATCAGGAGTCCTGATGTAGCAGTGCAGGATAAGCACTGGACCACAAGGCCGGTTTGAACCATAAGGTAGGCATTTCAAGCTTACCAGCCACTTCTCAGAAACCTTACACAGGGTCTCTATGAGATGGAACTGATTCAACGACAACCTATTTATCAGCAAGTTGCTCTAGTGGCTCAATGGTTAAGTGCTTAGCTGCTGATGTGAAGTTCAGAGATTCAAATCCACCAAGCACTCCACAGTTCCATAAAATCTCCCATAAAGATTCCAGCCTCAGAAACCCTTTGTGACAGTTCTACTCATTTATAGGGTCTGCATGAATTGGAATCAGCGTGTCTCTTCCACTCTGACGACACTTTATAATGGAATATGGATGTTTTGTCAAATGTCAGTGAAATTTTATACAAATGTAAATATTTCCTTTCCCATCCTCCCCAATTCCAACCAGATTACTGTCCCTCAGCCCCTTCTGTGCAGAAATCTTGCTGTTGTCTGCCACTGCCTCCTGTACCTGTATATGCCTCTGGGAAGGGAGTCTCCAACGGGGTTGGCCCATACCTCTGGCTGTGCTCATTTCTCCATCTGGCCAGGTGAGGCAGTGGAAACCTGTTGGTGCGATGCCAATGGGGGCACTGATCTCCTTCCCTTGGATCGTGGTCCTGGTGTCCACTTCTGACACATCTCTTAGAAACCGTGGGCGGAGACGGATTCTGTGTTAGACAACAAAGATGTTTTCTTTTGGTGGGTTTCACTCTCCAGAATGGAGATGCTGTCTGGGCCTGGGTACTTCATTTCTGAGTAGGCCTTAGCCAGATAGGTCCCCAGAAACCTATGGCGCGCTCAGTTGTCTTATTGCTAATTAAGTAACATAGACCCGGATGGAAGCTCACCTCTCCTGGAACTGCCCTCTAGCACTCTATTTCACATTAACCTGCTTTGTCTGAAACCCTGGTGCACACATGCTCTCCACCATGCCCTGCTTTGCTTTTGAGCTGTGCTTTTCTGACTGGACTCTTTGTACTTGGAGGGGCTGATGGGTTCAACATAAGAAGGTCTATGAAGAAAGTGAATAGGCATAAAGAGTTCTGGGCTCTTGCACTTGCAGGTTAGAAACAATTTCCAAAAAGTGAGTAAGGCCACTGAAAGTGGAAGAATTCCAGATACTGACCATAATTTTTTTCAATTATTATTTTCTGAAAAATTTGAATTTCATATAAATTTTACATGTCACAATTTTTTATTCTTCTTTTGTTTTTGTTTTCCTCCCCAACCATTAAACAGCAAACAAAGATGTCTTTGGTTTGTGAACCATACAAAAACTGGCAGAGGGCTAGATTTAGCCTGTGGACCATTGTTGGTGGACTCCTGCTCTTCCCTCTTGTCGTATTTTATCCCTACGACTCCTTGAGTCTCCATATTTCCTCTCTTCTGCCTTACATTTTCTCCTCCGAGCTGGAAGTTCAGGAATACAGGAAAGAGATTTAAGCCCACCTAACAGTCTTCTCCCTGCCTGGGTAACTTTGATCTCTAGGAATCTTGTTCTGTCTTGTCAGGTTGCAAAGGTTCTGGGATACTATGACACACTAGTTTCACAGAAGCGCTAAGAAAAATCCCCTCTCATCCATCCCCCATCCGTGTTGTTGTCAGTGTGTGCCATTGAGTCAATTCTGACTCATAACTACCATATAGAACAGGGTAGAACAGCCCTATATGGTGTCCTAGGCTGAAAGCTTTACAGGAGTAGATCATCATCAAGTCATTTCTCCCACAAAGGTGCTGGTGGATTCCAACTGCTGACCTTTCAGTAAAGAGTCAAGTGCTTTAACCATTGTGCCACCAGGGTGCCTTTCTCTCATCATTACTTTCCCCACCAAAACCCAATAATTTTCTTTATCAAATCTCAAGTGTACTGTGTTCTTTGGGCACAGAAACCATAGCGCTTTCAACCAGTGCATCTTAGCTTAACAACAGAATGGAGACTTCAGACCTTTTAAATGCTGCAATGTTGTCATCCCTTGTGAAGCAATCATCAGCTCCTCCGTCAATAAAATCCCAAGTTGATTTTGATAGACGCTCCCGTGCATGTGCCTGAAAGTCTGCCAAACACACCAAGGACATTTCTGTACCTTGAAAGTAAAAACAAGAAGCCCAGCAAGAACACTTTAGATGCAGACAAGAGGGTGAAGGGAGAAGATACAGTCTGCATCTGTTTGGATCCAATATCCATCCCCCTGATGGGATCACCACATCAGAAAGCAGGAATCCATGACCCTCCCCTCCATCCTCTCCCCCATCAATCCCAAACCCTGACTCTTCAGTCTTCTAAATATCCCTCATTCTGCTCACTGCTTCAGATCAAATTGAGGCTCCCCTACCTCTTGTAGGATTATTGCAAAAATTCCTGATTCATTTTCCATCTCATCTCCCTCCAGCTTCAGGTGATCTTTCTAAAGTGCAAGTCTGATGATTCCCCTTGTCTTTCAAAGCACCTACGTCATTGCCTTCCCAGCCTTCCCAGACCTGGCTTACCCTTCCTCACCAGCTTTATCTCATAGTGGCCTTTCCTTGCACTTGTTATTCAAGTTGCTACTTGCATTTCCTGAGCACAACAAATGACTGGTTTCATACCTTTGTTTCATTTTTCAAAGAAATTCTTCAGGGTGGAAAAACTACTCCTGGGAACTCCCAGGAACCACTGCATAAATGAGTTGCCTGGAACTATGGGTGATGTGGGAGAGGGCACTGATTTCTGGGGACTCTTTGCTGGGTCATAGATCATGTCTCATAGTATTAGTGTTATTTTAGGTGTCTTTGAGTCAGTTTCAACTCACCGGGAATCCTATGTACAATAGAATGAAACACTGCCCAGTCCTGCACCATCCTAGCAATCATTGCTATGCTGGAGTCAACTGTTGCAACCATTGTGGAAGCCTATGAGGATCTTCTATTCTTTGATATTGCTGTTATTGTTAGCTGCCAGCCAGTCAGTGCTGACTCATAGTGACATCATGCACAATAGAACAAAATACGGCCCAGCCCTGTGCCAACCTCACAATTGTTGCTATGCTTGAGTTCGTTGCTGCTACCACTGTGCCAGTCTGTCTCATTGTGGAGCTTCCTCTTTTTAATTGACTCTTTACTTTACCAAGCCTAATGTCCTTCTCCAGGGACTGATCTCTCCTGACAATATGGCCAAAGTATGAAAGGCAAAGTTCGGCTATCCTGGTTTCTAAGAGCATTCTGGTTGTAATTCTTCCAATACAGATTTGTTTCTTCTTCTGGTAGCACACGGTACTTTTAATATTCTTCTCTAACACCATAATTCAAATCCATCAATTCTTCTACAGTCAACTTTATTGATTGTCCAACTTTCACATGCATATGAGATTATTGAAAATACCACGGCTTGAGTCAGGCAAACCTTAGTCCTCAAATTGTTCAAGTCTTTGTTCTTGAACACTTTAAAGAGGTCTTGTGCAGCAGATTTGCTTAATGCAATACATCATTTGATTTCTTGACTGCTACTTCCCAGAGTGTTGCTGGTCGATCCAAGCAAAATGAAGTTTATTTAAAAAATGTTTTATTGTGAATTATGTGACAGTTTACATGGGAGAACATTAGCTTTACATTCATCCTATCGTATATTGTTTCACTGCCATGGTCACAATCCCTCCATGCATCATCAACCAACCA